TATAAAATTAAAAATATATTTTTAATAGATATAGGTATATTTCTAATACAGTAGAAGAGTAGAAGATAGTTGCTTTACTTTAATATTAACAATGTAACTAAAATATTAGGTTTACGTTTCTCGATCAGTTTTAAAAAATAAACTCGAGAAATGTATGGCTACATAATTTCAATTGATATCACGACTTAGAAATGTAAAAAATATATAATAAGATAATGTAGGAATTAATGAAGATAAAAGATAAGAGCTTAATATCACGCATATATATTTAATATTAAATTCGCATACCTATATATTAACAGAATGTAATTTTAAAGATTTTAGATTGATCTCAGCAAAACTCACTCTTTCAAGAAATTTAAAGTAATTATAACAGCTTTTGCGCGTAATCTTATCTTCTTAATCTTGAGCTTGGAAAATTTGACTTTGAATATACATTTAAAGAAGATTTTAGTTTCTGCTGATTGAGACATGCAGTGAAATACGTTGTTTTTCAACGCGAACATACGCATACGTATGTACAAGTGCGAAGTACACTCTGCTATTCCGCGTTTAGAGCCGCGGGGTTTTTCTCTTTTCTTTTCTAACGAAAAACAGGTAGAGTAATCGACTGAATCAAAAGCTTCTCTGAATGGGAAGGAAACGGATCTACGCGTATTCACGCAAACTCGTACACGTATTCGTGAAAGTGAGAGGAACGTGACGGGAACAGCGGCGGCGGGAAAGTGCAGGAAATCGTGCTGTTTCGATGCCATTTCCATGGAAATTGAGTACTTCGAGAGGGCCCGCCGGGCTCTCCGGTCGCTTTTCGACGTCTCGATCCGCGGCTCGCTATGGAACACGGAAAAAACGAGAAAGAGAACGAATTATCAGACTCCAATAGCAAGAGAAAAAGCAACCGAAAGATTGGCTCACTATTTTGCGGCAAACTAAGAAATTAAAAAGTACAGACAATGCAAAACAGTGTAAAATGTTAGTACATATATGTATATAAATATGTATATGCATACATACATATCTATATACATATATGCACACGCGTACATACTAATTTTTTAGCTTGCTTCAAAATAATATGCCGATCTTTTTCCAATCACTATAAGTCACAATTTCCAAATTATAATTTTTTTAATTATTTAAATTATAAAGTATAATAAGGAAAATATGTTTCTAATTTATATAATTTCAAGTAGAATGTTGCCGAGATATTAAATTGTCTGAAATTTAACTTTAGATATTAAAAAAATTAAACATGAGAATATAAAATAAAGACAGCTGCTATGTTTTGAAAGCTACAAGATGATTTTGAATATACATATTCCACTATAAATTCTTTAATTAACTCAATACAAACTTTTTTTGACAATGGAAGATATCGCGATAATTTTTTTGACTTATTTTATACAATATACATGGTTGTTATCTTATATTAATTTGTTTTATTACTACATTAGATTCCTAATTATGATTTTTTCGTTTAATAAACACGAAAGCACTACCGCCGACGGAACATATTTGGCATTGCCTGGGAGAAAAGAAATAACCAACGCAAGCGATAATCGGGAACAAACGCTGCGAAAAATCAAAACGAAGATACCGAAGCGTAAATTGAAACATATGCAGCTACGGTCGTTTTGAAATAATTACGAACAACGCCGGCGGCGTTTGTTTCAAACAAAAAAAGCGTATACAGCGCGTACTATTTTTTTGTTTTTATCAAAAAACCGAAATATTTAGTTTTTGCAACCAATAATTTTTGTTGAGTTTGCGATAGCATATACCACGCCTAAAATACCACAGTCGCCATTTTACGATATATTGGTTTTAGTACCTACTGCTGAAATCTTTTACTGCGAAAAAAGATGTTTTAATTCTTGACTTGCTCCATATCTATCTACATCCTTATACATATATCTTTCAGATATCATTAATTTGGATCAATATAGTTTTCAAAAGGCGCTATATATTGAGTTGCGAATTTTTTAAAAATCATGTTACATAGATGGAATAAGATGGAATAATACACTGAGAAAAAAAAATCGTAGATTCAAAGAAATATTATTTGATTCAACTAAATGCAGCGGTCACGGGCTGTCAAGCTAACATTTGTTAATTCAAAAAATATTATATTTAAATAGATTCAGAATTTCTTGATATTACTCACGTATATTTGATTTAAATATATTAATATTTGCATTAAACAAATCACTACAACTAAACGAGTTTAGTCAAATGTACAACATTTTTTTCTCAGTGTAGCGTATAATTCCGAGAGAGGCTATTTCAAAAATATCGTAACATATCGAGCAATGAAATGCAACTCGAATTCGACGAGACCGACAAAATGATTTTACTGACCAATTGCCATGCACAAGCGTGCGCGTACGTGTGTATGTATGTGCATTTTCAATGGATCACATGCGATAGCTCTCTTTGAGCTTGCAATCTCTTTCATTTAGGCTGTTTTACTGGTCTCGATTTTTTTTAGTCCTTTTAACGCTGATATTCCTTTGGTGCGATTTTGCGCGATCGCGCATCAATAATATTGAAATTTGTCGAGAAATACGATCGAAGTGAGCAATGAAAAGTCACTTCTCGATCGAGACTATCGAGAGTCATTGATTAAATACAAAAGGAATATGATACTTAAAGTTCCAATCATTTACTTGTTGACTTCGCACGAAACGCACATTCAAATAGACCACTGAACCACTTTACAAATTGAAGCTCTCTTAAAATTTGGTTGGAGGTAATCTTGCTATTATTATAAATTTGGCGTGTTCTCAATTACGCTTCCTTTTGCGTACGTTAAAAAAATGTAAATAATTTTTTATCGTTACCTTTGCTTCAAATGGTTGCTTTCTCATACTTTATAATGACGTACAGAATTCTTTCTCGTGGATCCCTTTCGAATGGCGATAGTTCGAGAGAAAATCGCGAATAGGCAGGCATGTAGAACGCTGCGACCGATCGGCTTTTATCCCGCGAAAACGCTTATCCGATAACTATTGTTTGCACGCTTCCATTTACGAGGTGAATTTTCCATGCCGCGGTCTGTGCCGTTTATCGGCCGTAACCATCGCCGGTGCCGTCTAATAAATATCACTGGTCGAGCGATTTTATTTTAGTACCTCTAACGTTTTCTCTCCTTCAACGTGATCGGCGTTATCGACCACACCAGCATGACCGCCGCGAGCTTAATTGGCCAACTTTCCAAAATCAGCGAAATTTAAGTATAGTGTAATCAACGATATTATATATCTTTCAGCAATTTGTTCAAATGCGTTTAAATAAAATAAAAGATATATTGGTTGTTATACCAATCTCATGATGTCAATATTATATTAATATATCTTATTTTACCATCTCAACATTTCTTCGGCGACTTAGGCTGCGTTCCACTTATCGCTCACAACGCTCGCGAGCATCATTTCGTCCTTGGTTAACATTTGACAAACAACAAGGATGAAATAATTTCACGAGCGTTGGGAGCGATAAGTGGAACACACCCTTAGATTAAAAAAGACAGTTTAATTATTAATATTAGTATTACATTAAAATTTATATTCTATAAAGAGAAATAATAATAATATAGGTACTGCAGAATTGTATCAGACCACCCATCTCACCTAATTTTTTCGTAAACGCGAAGTGAGAGGAAATTGGGGAGAAATGTTAAGTCCCATATCCTATCCGAAGTATCGAATGAAGATATTTTTGTTTTCCGGAACTAACCGGAAGTAGTGGCTATTGCGGTCAACTTTAAAATTTTAAATGGAAACATATGTTGTATAGGATATTGTTGAATAGATTTTAAAAAAGAAACATCTTTTATTTGAACATAATTGCGATATCACCAACCGTTGAGGAGAAACAATTGGTATAAACTAAATGGTAATAATGTAATAATAATGATCGTATTTGAAACGAGAAGTATTACTTTTATTAAGCCTTACAAATGTTCAATGTGCCTTCCGTCTTGATTTAAGCAAAGACGGATTTTATATCTCGGACGGATTTGGGAAGTATGCCGGTCGCTAAGTGATGCAAAAGTCTTTCGAGCTAATAATAGATAACATCAGAGACAGAATCCGCCTTTGTTTAAATCAAGTCCGATTTATCTTTTTCAACTTTTTCAAGATTTATCCAACGATACCTTGCATGATATATGTTTCCATTTAAAATTTTAAAGTTGTCCGCAGTAGCCACTATTCTCGGTCAGTTCCAGCAAACAAAAATACCTTCATTCGGATAGAATATAGAACTATTTCTTCCCAATTTTCTCTCATCTCGCGTTTACGAAAAAATCGGGTGGGATGGGTAATCTGATACAATATGTATACATTTATATGCTATTATGTTAAAAAAAAAAAAATTATTACGATTGTCAATCAAACAAAATTATCTTAAGCAAGAATTTAAATAAAAATATCCATAAATATCAAGCGATAAAACTGTGAGTAACAATTTAACGAAAAGATGCTCGAATGCCTTACATATCAATAGAGATACAATACTTTTTATAGAGAAAATATGATGTACGTATGTTGGCCAGTCGCGAATATTTGTTAAAGAGTCAAAGCCGTTGACAAACTGCAATATATAGGGAAGATATGCAACAAGATCATCGTAAGAAAACAGAAGGCGCATAGAACAGAGAGGGAAATAAGAAGAAAATTTTCAGCACCAAGAAGGGAGCTTTATTTTACCTTCGTATGTAAACGAATACGAAAATTCATGTTTGAGAAAATTGAAATTCGGCCCTTTTCTTCACCGCGAAGAATATCGCGAGTTTGAAAATCGACAGAGTATCCGGGGATATCGGTCATATTGTTGTCGTCGCGTTTTTGAATTGTGTTTCTCGAAAAATATCAATCTATAATCTTCTAAAGTCAATTTTTTGGTTCGTGGAAAATGGACTTAAGACCAGGTATCTGTTACGGCATGATATTATTTGAAATTATTCGCAGTATTAAAAAGATAGATATATCGATACTGACTGTTCGCCTCAGCACGGTCCTGACGGTCTCCACGTCCTGTCGTGTGGGCCAACGAGCGTAGACAACGCCACTGAGCAGGACGACGAACACTCCGATCCAGATAGTCCATGCCAGGACATTGCGCGTTCTCGCGAGCAGTTTACGCGCCGTCCTCGTCGAGATCACTTCCTGCGTCGGTATCTCCAGCTTCTGCGCCCGCCTCAATATGTCTTGGAGTCGCTTCTTGGCCTGCTCCACGTCCGGCACCCCCATCGTTTTTAGCCTTATCTTTAACCACTCGTTTCTCACCACGTCGATCCGAGTCCCGTAGGATCCCGCGTCCTCGCGCGTAGAGCAGCTGCCGTAGGCTCACGATGGAGACATTAAGGGTTGACGGGATTGCAGAGTTGTCTCATATAGAGTCCTTGTCGTCGTCGTAATGGCGCGTTCTCGATTTTCTGCAAAATTCATCCCATACCCTGAATTTTTGTATTCTGAGGATTGCTCCTACTTTTGGAATATGCGAAAAGTGTGTCGTAACCTTGCTCGTCCGCGAAGTACCCCTTGGCATGTAACTTTTCTGATTTCTCTGATAACTTTGCATTCGCAGAATTATCTTTATACTATGAGATACTGATATATCTTCCTTCAATATTTATTTAATATAAAATTTATTAAACTTAGAAGAAGACAGACTTAATAGTTTCTACTTGCTAATTCCGAACTGCGTAATCTCACTCAGTAGATATATGTGAACGATTTAATATTAAACGAATTGGCACTTACTCTCCCTACAAAGGAAGAATTTGAAAATACTAACTTGTTTGCGGCTGCCTTCGTTTCTCGTGCGTCTCCCGATTCCAACGTAATCGATTCTGGAATTATTCCCGCCGCACCACGGTAATTACCTAATAATTCCGGGATCGATTTCCCTTCCTCTCTCTATCTCGGCAGGAATGATGCACGCGGAAACTTGTCCCTAATTTCCTCCCATGTGAAAGTTCGACCTAGTTTTGCTACAAGCTTCAGGATTATAAAGGCTCGCACACGTGTCAGGCACGCTAACGATTTGACGCGCATCACAGTTAATAAGTTTCTTTCAAGAAGTCTCATCTTTAATTATTTATAAAACTATATAACGAAAAAGGGAGAGCGATTTAGTGTGAATGAGAATGCGAAATTAAAACCGAAGATTTTTCTAAGATGTAATTTGTTACATCGAGTGCCACAATTTCATATAATTTCTTTTATTTTTAGGTATTTTATTTTTGGGAAATAATTAATTTGAGTTTTCTGGTTATAATTCAATTAAACGGATTATCTTTTCATGACTTCTTCATGTATAACATTAATTTGTTTCCATTATTTATTAATATTCTTCGAATAAAAATCGATAATCGAGTTTATGTTAAAACTTCCGTTAAAATACAATTTATTCGTAATAAGAATTCGAAGAGAACATTACATTTATCTGTATTATAGATTGTTTAAAAGTAATTCTAATATTTGTATATTGCTATTATTATTTTTTTTACATTATTCTCTATTATTTAATATTAGTTCTTTTTATATTAGTTCTATTTGTTCCAAACTTAATTTCTCTATTGTTTGCAAAGTATCTATCATCGAGAATTTTATCTCTTCATCAAGTCTCGTAACTTTTCGCCTTCTCTGAATTATATTCAGACTCTATTCTACGATTGAATGAGATCGTTTTTCGGGTATCTCGAGAGTTTCCGGTCGGGAGAGTTCCTTCGTTAGTTTCTTATAAATTTTCCAAACGGATATTCCGGCCGTTGGCCAGATTATGTTACGACGTAGCCAAAAAAATCTTTTGTGAATCTCCCGAGAAAACTTTCACGCCCCCTTGGCCGCGTCTCGAGGACGACACGGAGGCTGAAAGAGAGTGGTTTATCTTCCGAAAGAAGTTTCCGCGTGTATGAGGGGAGGAAATACCCTTTCGATCAAACCACGACGAGCCGCGAGAAAGCACCGTGCCAGTGATTCTCCATCATCTTCCTCTTCGCCAAGACGTCGATCATTTATCACATGCGCGTTCAACATTAATCAGCTGCTTTTGTACCGGCAGAGGAATCTCCAGAATTCATGATACTAATATAGGAATTCGACTAGACTCGAAATTAACCGCTAAGCGTCTGAAATTGCGAATCTTTTATGATTATAAATTCTGCTTGTGTATAGCAAAAGATTTATTAATAACATTCTTGATAAGTTGAATGTCAAGATTCTTCTCTCAAAGAGTACAATTTAATAAAAAATTAAAATATAAATATATAGTAAGATTTAATTTTCAATTAGTTCTGAATAAACTTAAAAATTTTATTACAATGAATTAATTTAAAATTTAAATTAATTCAATACAATTACAAAATGTTCAATATTTTGAATATTAATAGTCTTTAAGAAATGCTGAACTTTTTTTAGATTGTTATTTAGAAAATATCAATTTTATACTTTTCAAAATAGATATTTTATGAATATCATTTATAGTGTGCATTGTTTCCCAACTATTTCTGCAATACCTTAGAGAATGTTGTTTCAGAAACTTCGACAGTATCCTATTCCATTCTAAATACAATTACAATATAGAGACTTGCAATAGTAGCGATAGCATCGTGTTTCGAGCCATCGAATTGATGTTTTCGATACTCGGCCCAATTCCCCTCTTTGCAGCACAATGAGTTTCCACATTCGCGTTTGTGGACAACAAACTACGCTACTTGTTAAAATTGTCTTGTCTTTTTTACGTTTATTTCTTATTTTCTTTCCTATTTCGACTTCTCTCGAGTTTTCTTTAATTTCACTTGACTCTATATAGTTTCACTTAAAACGATTGGAAAGAAATTCCTTTGCGAATTAACAATTGCAAGAAATACTTGACAAATTATTAATAATTTGTAAATTGTATATAATTTACAAATTAACCTTATTTAAACAGACTTTTAATAGCCAATCAAAAAATCTAAAAAATGGTCAATAAAATTTTGGTTTAGAAAAAATTGTCCTTGAGTCAGTTTGGTCAAATTGACCGTTACATGAGGAAAATTCTAACGCGTCGCAAATTCTCGCACGAGGACCCCGATGGGAGGGTTAATGTAAAATACAGAGAATTTATATGTATATACTCGGCGAGCAATAATACCGCGCAGTAAGCAGCGAATCCGTTTTGTGCTCTCGTGCGGAATAACTCATTTGACGTTAGCTAAACACGATGAACTCTATTCCGAGAAACGCGCGTAGGATATCGCTAGCTAACGTCTACGAGTCCGAGATTGTCTCGGCAAACACGCTCGCTAATTCATAATCTCTCCGGAGACCGTTCTGAAGATGGAGATGCGCCACACTCGATTACACCCGAGAATCCCTTCGCAGGGAATCCCATTCCGACGAAATTACAGAAATCTCTCACGATGAATAGGGAAAACGTGTTAATTAAGCTTAGTCGTTTGATATTTTGCGAAGAACATTTAAATGAAGCATACGTTCAAGCACAACAGATGTATACTATTATTATATGAAACGTGTTAGAAAAGTTGAAAATTCAAGATAAAGTTTTTAGATGAGTTTGATTTTTCTTTGATGAGAATATAACAATTATTGGTGCAAATATCGTAAAGCAACAAAGAATATCATTACATAGTGCAATATAACCAAACATTTGAATTAAATATAAACATTAATTACTTTATATAAAACCGATCGCAATTACAGATATTAATTAATTCAGATATATTTTTATCGTTCGCGTTTACAAGCGTTTGTCACGTTTTCTCTTTTTGTTTTAATTGCGATTCGAATAATGAGATCACCAAGTATCGGAACAAGTTCTATGTATGTATTCACGTCAGGATTTGTCAGAAATTATGTTGTAATGATATCGTGTTTCTAAAGTTCAGAGGGCAATCATATATGATTTGAAGTACGTCGTCCGACATCAAATCCTTCCGTCTAATTGCAGTGCTCTTAACTCAAAGACACAAGTTATTCAACCTAGAAATATCCTTCCCTACTGAACAAATTCGTTAAATTGAGAATTTCGAGTCTTATAAATTATTGTAGCACATATATTGTTCGCGTTAATTTATAAAAGAAATTTTGTTAAAATAGAATTCATTATTTTCAACAAAATAAACTTTCAGTTAATTAGAGAAAATACCACTTTTGGTCGGGCTGGATTTTGGTAGCTCAATAATAATATTTTTGTGTGAATTTGATATACTTTTTCCAAATCAGTAAACTTATACGCTCCGATTCGATTGTTTGTCTTAAAACATAGCTTTTTTGTCGGAACAGTAAATCCACATACTTAAATCGATTTAACTTATGATGCTGATAAATATCCTTTTTTTAAACCACTGTAAAGAATTTATTGAGGAAAAATATCGCCCCAACCAGTTTAAACCTGAATTTCTTTACAATCCGTAACGAGCTCTACCAATTCGACCCCACTGAGGCAAAATAAACTTTGCTCTATAACATATCTTTGCATAATATATAATTTATAATATATATCAGCATTAATAATCAAATCATGATCGGTTAATTAAATATGTTTGTAATTTTAATTAAAATTCTCACGATCGCACTGTTAAATATACTCTAACACGATTAATATTATATTATAATATCGTTCCTATCAAACATAGTAGGAATGCATTTCGAAATAAAAAACAAAAAAAAGCTTGTATTATTTTTCTTTAATCCTCACGCTACAAAAATGTTGATGTCTTACTTTGTTCCAATTTGTATTCAAAAATTAACTTACAAGATTTTTTACAATGATGAAATTGCTCGAAGTTAACACAAAAGTCCTCTCGATAAGATATTATTAATTCTTTACATTTACATTGTTTCATGCCATATTACTACGAATTCGACAATCGTTACAGTATCGTTTTTTATAAACGTTAGTTATAATTAACTGGAAGATATTTATTCAACTTACTGCTGTTTTAGAACGAATCGAGGAACCAGTTAAATTCCTGTTAACTCTAATAAGCTTATGAAAGTAGATTGTAGCGCAATATATAGTCGGTCAACATTTCCACTCTACTATTAGAAAGTAAAGTTGGAAAGTAGAACGTAAGCATTTCGTTTAGCCGATTAGATATCTTGTCACTGTCATTAAATACATTTATATGTACTGTATCATACTGCCGAAACGTGAAAACTTGCAATGGTTTCGATTGATCATTATTTTCGATATACGAGAAGTTACATCGGTACACATCCTGCCGATTTTAACCAATTTCATCTATGCGAATATAGCACTCACTCGTATCGCTAAAAATCTAATCGTTGTATAGGATTTCGGCTGGTCAACACTGGCAGTATATAGAACAATTAAATTTGTGCACATTCCGCCCGCTTTCGAGTAACTTCGCTGGTTCGTCGAACTCGTATCTCTCATTCTATATACTGCCTCATATTGCTGACAAACGAATTGGCAAGTGATTGCAGTAGAATTTTGACAGTACCTCGACCAACGTATTGCCCGGTAACATGTGACGATTAAATCGCTATACATTCCACTTGTGTTAGCCAATGTCATCGCCATCAATAAGCCATTCACTGATATTGCCACATATTGCTACAGTCATTTGGTCAACGTTACTAGACAATATGCGACTGCGTGATTAGTAGATACGATATTACTGGTCGACTAATTTTATCCTCATGAAATGTGTTATTCTCCTATCGAAAATAATTGGTGAAATAATAATTGCTAAAATTGTCATATCAATTCAACTAAAATCAACATTGTCAGGTGATATGCAATCGAATTGTCGTTCAAGTTGCTCAGCATCGCCGACGCGGAACAATTGGACCGACACATATTCCACACGCATTAAATTAGTTCTCTCGTCATCCGACCGAATGCATACGTATAGCTTTACACGCGATATCTGATGTGTGATGACACTTTTAATGAAATTTTATCGCCTGAAGCGACTTCTTGGGCGAGCAAGGTTTGACTTGACTGTGTTTTTGAGATCCTTACTGTGTATCGTCACTCCTCCCTCGGCGAGGACACTTTTACCCATCAGTGACGCCAGCGAGACCGATACACAGTCCCCGACTGGCATACGACACCCCACAACGTCTCGTGCACACGTGAGCTCAACTTCCGTATGGGACAGGTTTCTAGATCACGGCCGGCATTGTGGCGTTTATTTCCCGTCGGCGAAACAACCCGCGTTTGTGCTCTATCGAGTGGACGATGAAGACCGGAACGAAGGCGGAATACGTTTTCGCGAACGGCGGCCCGATTCCCCGGACGGGCGAGAACTGACCGGCCTCGCCGAGGGTAGCTACCCTTATAGATATACGACGATGGGGGCGCGCGCATGTGCCGCACCGGCGGTGATGCCGCGCCACGCTGCGGATCCAGCCGGCGCGGCGCGCTAAAGGGACACGTCGATTGGTCGGCCGAGAGGGGTGAGCGAGCAGCTACCAGGGGAGAAAGTCGGTCGCTCGGCCGGAAAGTGACAGTGATAAGAGCCCGTGCATGCCGGACGCGAGAGCGAAGCGCATAGATCTTCCGACGCCGTGAAGATGTTGATCGACATATTGTGCGAATTTATTCCGCGCGGGCACTATCTTTAGCTATACAAAATTGACGCTTGGTGGAAAATCGATTGATTTAATTAGATATCCAATTAAAATTGAAAACCGATTTGCATTAAATATAAAATTAGTTTATGAAAAATCTTTAAAAAATTTTATGAAATTTTATAATTATTCACTTATTATACTATTTTGAAAATAATTCTGTAAAATATTGCTATTTTTTTTGCCTGCGAGAAATATGAATTATTATATAAATATAATTTATTATTTTAAAAGAACAGTGCTTGCGCGCGTTTAAATATGCATACACATGACCTATAGCTGTAAAGTTATTGCGGTATATATCTAATATCTATGGCGGAACAACGTCGTGCAAGTTTCGACTTGCAGATAAGCCACATAACTTTGAAGCGATATGTTTTGTGTTTTAACATCTTTCGCATAAATTAAAAAAAAATGATTAAAACATATAACTATATAAAGGTTTACAAGATTGGACATGGAAAACGTTAATATTAATGTTAAAATATTAAATATATAAAGAAAACGACTTTTTTGAAATTAATTGATAAGAAAATATATTTTATTGCACAATTTTTATTACAGCTAGTAAATTATATAAAATTAGTATACAAGGTATAGAAAATAAGAACAAGTGTATAAAATTTGTGATGCTCATAAAGCTACGTGTTTCTTCTCACAATGCCATTCTTGCAAAAGAGTTTTGCAACGAGAGTTGTTGTAAAACTCCCCTGGAATTACCGATTACCCTTTTTCGCCAAAATGCCATATTACGTTCTCGCTGTAGGCAGTAGTAAAAAAAAAGAACAACGGAAAAACCCCGGCACGCTCGGCGGATCAAAGAAAAGCGAGTAACCGAAGTGGCGCGCGGAAACGAAGTTTTTAATTTACGTCGCCGAAGTAATATGTCGACGACGACGAAAATGCGCGAAACGTAGAATTCGGTGGGAAATATTCTCCCGGGCCGAGCAGTTCTCATTTCGCCCCGTGTTCAAATATGTGCCCTATACTACGTGTCCCGTGCGCGCATACTTCGAGTCGCACTGTTCGTGCCGCTAAAACTCCCGTAATTGCAAGAATCCTTCAGCGACTTCCCGCTACGTTTTTCTCCCCCTCTCCCTTTGCGCACCCAACGCTTTTTATTGTCCAACCGGTTAGCAAACTCGCGCGAAAATGTTCATGCGCTGCGAGCTATCCTAAATCGTCAACTCGCTTTCTAGAAAATTGAGAGAATTCTCGACAAAATGTAAAAATAATATTTAGCATACCATTTATTTAGCTATTAACATTGTATCACACAAATTTTTAAACTTTTATTTTACAAAGGCAGCACTCTGGGCCGCGTTTATTTAACAATTTTATTTTAACGTTTTTGAAAAATATTATGTTTGAATGACGAGTACTTTTTTTACACACATATTTTTTGATCTGTCTAACTTTTAACAATGCAATTTATGTTTGATATTATCTACTTTTTCCAAAATACATAAATCTCTTTAAAGTGGAGAGAGGGAGAGGGGGGGGGGAGAGATATGCAAATACACCTGTACGAATGCAACTCCGAAGTTGCTCATGAATATTACCAGTTGTTCTTTGTTTTTCTCACAACTTGCTGACGAAACCACCACGTGCTCGCGTGCGTTTGCAATTTGCTCGCATGTTTAGCGTCGATAAGCGCTATCAGAAGCGTTCCGGCTCATTCGACGCGCGACCAATTACTTTTGCCCCGGGCACTTAGCGGAGACAATGGGGGCACGTCGAAGGCGGGAAATCAAGTGGCGGGAAAACGGCGGAGCATGTCACGTTTACCGTACAAATGTCGCGCGCAATCGCCCGTGAAGATAACGAGAACCGAGAACGTTAATTAGCGGTCGCGAAAGACGGCGCGAAAAGATTTGCGAATGAAGCGAAATAAAAAAAGTTTCCCCCGCAAAAAAAACGTACAATGCGAGAAACGATTTTTTTTCGAAATTCTTCCCAAATTTTTTTCTCTTTTTCTTTCTAACAAGAAACAGAAATGTTATTAATCTTACTCTACAACTATAATAGTATAAAATTATACTGATATATGGAAAATTCTTGGGAAATGCAAATATTATTCTTTGATTCATAAATAAGTCAGACTTAAATTGTTATATTTGTTACAAAAGATATATTTGGTATTAATAATGAATAGTTTCATTGTTTAATTTGGGAGAATTTAATTTAATTCGTAATTAAATAATATATTTAAAATGCCCTCGAGGTTGAATATAAAGTACAATTACGAAAATTGGTATATGAAGCTTTAATAAACAAATAATGAATTTATGAGTTAATTTATAACTAATTTATTGTTTATTCATGAAAAGATTTTACATTACAGAACTATGAAAAGATGTCAAACTACATATTATTTATAATTCAAGAACTATTGAATATGTCGATATTCAAACGCTCTTGTTATGTATGCTGCTACATGCAATTTATATTAAAATGTCATGTAAGTGATTTATTGCTTTATGCTATCTACTATTCATGACAGAGAACAGAGAAAAAGTTGAAATTATATATTTTCTAATACTTTCTACTCATTCGCACGTAAATTGTACCTGAATTAATAAGGATAGAAAGCTTAAAAGAAAACAAAAATAAGAGAAAAAGAAAGATGAGATGAGAATCGATTACAAGGTTCAAAAGGGTCCAGAAAATTACGGCGAATCCAACTCACGTATTTTCTTTTGTTGTGCTAATAAAATCTTTACGTGAAATATAGCAAGAAAACATTATGAGCGCAGAACAACAGTGAAAAATGTCAAATTTTACCTTATGAGATTTTCGACCCGATCTCAATTTCATTAATTTATTACTTGATACGTCAAATGCGCGTTTATCCTTGCATTAGTGAACTTTTTTTATGAAAATCCTATTCACGTTTTGCAGCATTTAATTTTTTGAAAAGTTTTGATTATCCGCTTACGCGATTACATACAGAATTATACATATAATAAAATCCTTTTAACGAAATGTATATATAAAATGGTAAATTGTTTAATTATTAATACTATATTGAATTTATTAAATTATTATATATAAACTTTACCGAAGTGTAAATATTAAAATTGTTAAAACTAGAATTTTAAAATTCTTTTAAAAAATCGGCAAAGAATATCATACTGCACGAAATATTTAGAGTGCTAAATAAAGAATTATTTTTGTATAGCATTAAATTCTTTCTTTTTATATTATTTAGTATAAGAACAAAATAATATAAAAAATGATATGCACGTGACGATTAGGAAATAGGATTAAAACTTCATATAACTTCATATCACAATCGCTATCATATCAAAAATACATTGATGTATTTCGGCGTAAAAGCTGGTTAACTTAGCGTAATGAATAGAAGAGCTGTAGCGTCATTACGCGAAGTTTTAACAGGACGAAACGCTTTAATAATATCGTCATGAACGCATGTACTTGTGTCGATAAAACCGCGTAGAAACGGGAGATAAAAGAATATTTAATCAGAGCGCATGAAGTGGCACAGAGATAAGTAACAAAAAGTAGAATCGTCCCCCAAACGGAAGAGGCCCCTCGAGTACGAGATAGAGAGGGCGAGATAAACGCGCGGTTAATTAGTATGCAAAGTTTGGGAATACCGTAGGCGAGTTAACAGGGAAAGCGTCGCCGCCGACGGTGTTACGTGAAGACTTGCACAAATAAATTGCGGAGAGATTATTACATCGCGATTTGCGCGATGCGATAGATGAAGCGTGAAGTGTAATTAATATGAGTAGTCGACGTAATTTAAAAAGAAATCTATCTTGCAACGCTTGCAGAAGGAGATTCACGCATGAGGGATTCATGGGTAATGGAAATATATAAAAAAATAACAAATACAAAATAAAACAGTATACTATAATAATTATATACGCTGATAGTACATATAAAGTTTTATGTACAAAATGTTTCACATTCTGAACGTTTTCTTTCATTTGCAACAGTTAATTTCTCTTGATAGACTACCTAAAATGAGCTTTTCATTAAAAAAAGAATTAGGAGTATGTAATTGAAACACTTGTATAATTCTCCCTCAAAGTATTTGTTATAATTATATAAAAATAATACACTACACACGAAATTGTTCAATACAAATTGGATATTTTATGTGTAATAGTCCAATATCGTGAAAATACTTGTCAGCTTTGAATTGATGCTCGAGAAGCCTACTACTGCTTAGTCATTTGATAAAGCATCAGATGCGAGATGATGCTCTCTCTTCGAGGGAGATAAAGATCGATTGAGGGGAAGCGAAGAGATGAACACTAAGTGGATGAGGGAGTATTTGGACGGGCGATATCGACTGGTGAAATTTCGATGAAACAAGGATACTGATCTCGCAGCGAAGTTCCGGGAAATCAAGATTTCTGGGGGCAGAAATCAAGAGAGAGTGTGAGAGAGAGAGAGAGAGAGGCGGTAGTAACTGAGGTTACTAGTACTAGGCTATTACTCGATGCTATCGAGAAGGGCTACGGAGAATAAACGCTCAAGAAATGGATATCGAAAATCGAACGATTCGCATCTGCCTATGTGATTCGAAATGGGCAGTATTGGTCCACAAATCGTGAGAACTGTGGAAGAACGCCGAAATACAGTAATAAATCTCAAACGCGGCTCTCGCCATGTTTAACTTCAGTC